CAAAACAAAATTTAAGCAAGCCCTTGCAAAATAGCAGCCGACAAGAGCCTAGACATTTTTTTTATTTGAAAAGAGGACAAGGGATTTTTAGTGTCCAACTAATTGTTATACTATAGGTTATTGTAGTTTCCAACTAATTGTTATACTAATTGAATTACTTCATGCAAATTCTTAACTAAGTTACATAATTATTTAATTTTCATCACGTAACTTGTGGCGCACGAAACATGAAATCTTTGTCATGAATTAAGGATACTTTCAATTAGATAGGCAGTGGCTCTCATGGTGAGATCTAAACTCGGGACCGATTTACTTTTTAATTTTGATGTTCCCACCGTCCGTTCAAAATCACTTATATAATGACGTGTGTGTGTCTGTTACCACGATAACTTGAGTAAAATCACCTTGATTTTGATGAAATTGGTACAATATCGTGAAAACCTATTTCGAACCAGCATGATCGGACAATGGGAACGGGAGTTTTATGGGGTAAAAATTATGGTTTTCTCATTTTTAACCTTTGAAACATAAGAATTTGCAATTTCTTCCCAAACCATTTTGTACAGCTTAATAAACGAAATTTAGTTAGTACACTAAAGCGTTGTATACCCCTAACAATACGGGGAAAGCAAAAAAAAAACTGCATTATGAAGAGCTCTTTTCCAAAAGGGTCCAAGCACAGCCACCTTTAACTCCAGGCAGTGGTGGATCTAAAACAGTCTCAAGGGGGGGGGGTAAACCTGGGGGTCTGGGGGGTTCAGTGGTAGGACTCCCTCAAAAAATGGCAATAGGTAATCACTACTGTATTACATGCAGTACAAAAAAATAATATGTATGCCCGAAGGGGGGGTGGTCGCTCGGGTCGCTTCCCCTCTGGATCCGCTACTGACTCCAGGCCGCGGCCTTCGAAGTGGCAACATCGCATATAGGGTTGTAACAGCTGTTTTGTTTGAATGCAGCTAATGGTAATTTGTGAATTTTATAAGAATATGAAAACTTGGTTGCTTGGCTATGAAAATATTGACTCCACTTTCAAAGTACAAAAATTGGTTTTCAATTTAAATATTGTTTTGGTTTTCAATTCTATATAATTTTATTTTCAATCTTTCAATAAATTTATGTTTATAAATTTTAATATTAATTAATAATACCTACGCGAAATATTGAGCTGGTGTCACCTGTCTGCCATGTTATCTTATGGGACGTCTGGCGCTAGACAACACCACTTGCGACGTTGTCAATTCTACCAGGCCGCGGCCTGTAGTTAAAGGTGGCCGTGGTCCAAGTAAATTTTTGGCGAAATAAAATATAATTCCCACGTTTTTCTTATGAATAATAAATACATTGTTGTAGTATCCTTGTTTGGAACAGATTTGATTTTTCAAATTTGTTTATTTTATACTAAGTTATCAAAATTTCTTTTATGAAAAAAACACAGATTTTTACATTTTAAGAAGATATTTTAGTGAAAATAATATAATCAGGCAAATGGAAATTCGCTTAGTCTGCAGGTTTGCTGTGGTGGGTATTACTGGTTTTATGAACGCTCAACGTCTTCAAATGGGTTGTAAAAGGAATGTAGGAATAAGGAATTAAATTATTTTGCCTTAATATTTTGAACATCAGTTATCTACATCATTGTTGTGAATAAATTCCTTACAAAATGCTTTGTCTCAAACATCTGGCCTTATAGTCTCTGAATAGCTGTAATCAAGGGACAGCTGCTTAAACATAATAAGGAAACAAAGCACAATGTGTATAGCAGCTCATAGATGGATGAAGTAGAGCAAAATCATTTTAATATTTTTTGCTAAATGTGTGGAGACTTCAGACTTTTAAAAATCTTATTAATGTTAACATAAACTCTCTCCCTCTTCACAATTATTTTCTTTATGGCATGGTCCAAGTGCCCAGGAGTGGGGCCAGGGCCAGGGCTAGAGATTGAATAGCCTGAGTGTTTAAAAAATAAGATTTTTTTGAACTCATCCATACTAGTGTACCTGTTGCTCGAATTTGAGCAATTGCGAAGCATTACAGGCGACTCACGAAGATTATGGAAATACTCACGATCTACACAACAGTTAGATATAATCAAAATCTTTTGTAAATATCTTATATCTTTTCTCAAAATGCTGATCTTGTTTTTTAGTGTTTCTACAAATTTTTCCCTCTCATAGCCGCATTAGGTTGTCTATAATAACGATTATAAATGAAAAAAAATATTTCTTTTCTTCTACTTGGTTGTGTTCTTCTATGACTTTTTCTATGTTTCCATTGTTTGCAAATCGGTTGTTTCAATGATTGCTCAAGAAATGTAGCATATTGTTAATTCAGTTTTATTTTTAGCCTATATCAAATTTCCAGGATTTCTCGCTTTTTTCGATTGTAATAATTTCACCAACCCAAGTTTCGTCTACAGATGCAATACGCCAAAGAATATCACCTACGTACAATCTCCAAGAAGTGGTAAAAAAAGGCAGAAACCAAGCCATACAAAATAGATATAAGTTAACTCCTTAAGAAATAATTTTAAGAGTTACTGTGATATTAGGATTATCCACTGATTTGGTAATAGAACATTATATTGCAAAACATGACACAATGCAGAATAAAATCAATTTTAAAATCAGAAAAACCCATTGCAAATACTGTACTTCATTTTGAAAAATTCAATAAATCACAATTTAAATATTAACAGCCGTTTCATTAAAAATTAGTGTAGAATTATGCATATGGTACGGTAAACAAATTTGAAGAGGCAACTTTAAAGGCTTCTCGGGCAGAGCACCAAGGGAATTTACCTCGTTCCTCTTTTGATGGCTCATCTATAGACCAAGACCTTTCTTTAGAGACCCCTACCAAGATTCTACGCCCAGCCGTTCTCTCAAATTAGCTGGGACAAAAACCCAGTTTTTCCTCCATAAGAATAACATGGGATGGGAATTCAAAGGCCACTGGGGCAGATCTCCAAGGGAATTTACCACGTTTCTCTTTTGATGGCTCATCTACAGACCAAGACCTTTCTTTAGACACCTCTACCGAGTTTCTACGCCCAGCCGTTCTCTCAATTTAGCTATGACAAAGAAAAACCGTTTCAAATTATATAATTTGAAACTGTTTTTCTTTGTCACAGCTATTTTGAGAGAACGGCTGGGCGTAGAAACTCGGTAGAGGTAAAGCATATGATTTTATAGATCCTTCCTCTTTCTCATTTTAAATCTACATACCTAAATAGTTTGAAAGCTGCTGGAATGTAATTTACTCTGTAGTCAATTTTTTACTAACAAAAGTGTTAACATTTGTATGTATAAGCCTACTATATTTAACACATAAAAATATTACTATATTCCTCGTGATAATTACTGATTTAATCAGTAGTTAAATTGTTACTGGAACTAAATTGTTACTTAATTTTATTTCCATACATTTAAAGAAAAGTTCTGATTTTAAAAAGGAAACAAACTTACAGCAACAAAATAAAACCAGTTACATCTAATGGTTATCCAACCTATGATATTTACCTATCAATAAAACTCATACCTAGAAAGACGAGTATTCCAGTCAAAGTGTGATTTTCTTGCTCCTGCCCAGATAATAATTCAGCACTTCAATCAGAAGTCAACAAACTCTTGCACTGCACTATCTGCACCTGCTCTGTTATCATTTTAGGGGGGGGAGAGGGGGGGGAGGACTAAACATAACCACCCACTTGTAACACACATGCCTCTTACTATAATACGGTATGTATTTAAGACGAATTTCGACATTTTAAAACTACATCCTGTCCATTTTTTTGTATATTAAAAATTTATTAATAAAAAAACTTTTAAAATATAAGTTACCACGTTTGTAAAACTACTACTAAAAAGAAGGAAATAGTTTATAAGTTTATGGAGAGAATAAATACTTGTAAGATATAAAACGAAAAACGCAGGGGGCAAGCAATAGATAATTGACAATTTTCTTCACCTATTGAATTACTATAGTTATTTTTAACCCCAATTAGGAAATATGGAAGTAAATCATACAAACAGGATGTACTTTGTGAATTTGTTTGTTTTCTATGACAACTATTATCTATTGCATGTGTCCCACGTTTTTGGTTTTAAATCATACAAGTATTCTCGTATTCTCTCTACATAATATTTATACATTTTTTCTACTTTTTTGAGCGTTTAAAAACGTGGTATTCTTTATTTATTAATTATTTAAGCACCGTATTTATTTATTAATTATTTTCTACTTGTTAGTCTTTAATGAGTAAATATGTTAAATCTATTATATGTGGTCTGTTAATGCATATCATACAAAACCTTTTTATCTGTAATCAAAAAAATTTTAATTTTCACCGTCATCTTTACCATTTTAAAGTACAGTCTGTTTTTTTTTAGAATCTCTCGGGAGCAGTACCTGTGCCTCTTAACCTCTGCTCTTTGAACAAACTGTCAAATTACAGCTAACTTCAATTTATATATTTGACTATTTACATTCTTCCAAAACATTGAAACTTTGGAAGCTCATGGGGCGTAGCCAAGGGAAATGTGAAAATAGAATGATTTAAATTGCATTGTCATCCATTTGTGAGATATATTTCAAGTTTCAAGTCATCAATGCAGTTTGCTAATCGGGAAGTTAGTTTAAAATCGATTGCAAAATTTGCAGCGAACAGACAAGAAAGCGAGCTAATAAAAACTTGTTAATAATAAGATAGTTTTCAATAAAGTTTTTGTAAAGAAATATTGCTTCCACTTATTTAAAAAAAGTAATGCTAGTGTTTTTTAACACAACCCAATTTAAAAGTACCACAAGATGCTGTTAAACAAAAACAAAAAAAAAAAACAAGCTTTTATTTTGGTATCTGTGTTTACTTTATTTCTGAGGTTTAGTGTTATTGAGGATAGATAAAAAATAGATTTGACTTAAATGTGGCGAAAATTTTGGTAATTGGGATGGACATAAATAAAACATAGATTGTGGCACTTATATTTAATGCATAAATGTTAAATAGCAACACAACTTAAACATCAATAACAAACTAATAATAAAGAAACTAAAATTCAACAATATTAATATTGACTAGAGAAAATATCATGAGTCTTAGCTCATACTGTATTTGGCAATAGTAAGAATAATATAAAGAATTATCCCAAGATTATATACCATAAAATAAATACATTTTACCGGGCAACATAGTCATAAATAATAATAATAATAATATTACTTAATACCAAAATCTAATTGCTTATCAAATATTTCGTAATATTTGCATGAGTAAATTTTAAGAACTGGTTATTTCCATTTTGTAGAAGATGAAATGGTGTATTGAATATATTATATTACTTATTAATCAAAATATCTCATAAAATCAATTCTCTTGAAAATTCTACTCATTTTTTATTTTTGTAGATTACAGTGATTGCTTTTACAATATTTGTGAACTTTAAATCCTTATATAAAATACAATACATTGGATACAATTTTAAATACATACTGTAAGTCTGGTGCAGCGTTTCGCATTTCTTTCAACGCTTCGATTTAACCTAACCTAAAAACGTTTTGTATAGTGTATGAAAGACTAATTATTTATATGCTTTATAGTAACCGTAGGAAAAATATAATGTGTAACGCAAGTGCAAAGTGCCTTTGCTGCACTCGAGAAACTTTCAACATTGCCTGCGGCTTGTTTGTGAATATTTCTCTCATGTGTAGTAAAGTGCCACTTCGCACACTAGTTACACAAAATAATAACTACTGTTACTTCAAGTCAAACTATAAATAAGCTTGGGAATATGACTTTGATGTTTTAGCTTATATAATATATTTTTTCTGTTCTAGGATGCTAGGCCCAAGCCCAGTATTGTTTTTCACATTACTTCAGGCTAGGCCTAGGGGCATTATCACTTTTAAAAATCACTGGAATAAAATCCAATTGATTTGGCGGGATTTGAACCTGTGACTTCAGGGACCAAAGTCCTGCACTCTACAACTAGACCAATCACTCCCCTGTATCAATCACATTAATGTTAACAGAAGCGATTTAAAACTTTGCAATCTGTTTGACCAACTTCACGTCGTCTTAATCGGTTTGATTCCCAGCTGTACTAACCGTAGAATTTGTAGCGACTTGAATAAACTTGATCACTTGAACTAGTGAGCAACTTTGAAACTAAAATTATTCCAAGCTAATGGAGGAAAAGCCACCATAATCGCTGCTAATGAGCTGATGCCACTTAAGTCCCTAGCACATTTGTATAGTAATTCATGATATAAAACAATACAGTACTTTCAATTGCCAGCATGGTCTTTGAATATTTTGATAGTTTGTACATCACTGGTATAAAATAAAAGCAAAAAATCCAAAATGTGTCAATAATCAAGTTTGAATAGAAACTGCTTCTAGGCTTACTATGGACGTTAATTAACCCTTTAAACCAAGAGGGTAATTTGATTAAGCCTATTTTAATGTTTCCAGCATCTTATGAATGCAATGATCGAACCTAACATTATTACTTCAAACCTAACATTCAACCTTATTGGTTCCAAATTGCCTCGTCAAGCACAGTTGTTGACCATTTTTTTAAACTATACTGCCATAAATGGATTAGTCGTGTTGTTTATGGTTTCTAATGACTATGAGGCTTAAAGGGTTGAAATATTAAAATTAATTCACCATCAAGGAAGTTATTCACAGTAAAACTTGTCTGATTTCTAAGTACAAATTTCACAAAATATCAAAAATAGGAAGTTCCTGAGAAACATGGGCACGCTCAATTGCACCCTGGACTACAGTAGACTCCCTCTTATCCGGACTACTCGGGACCAAGGGCAAGTCCGGATAATGGGTTTTCCGGCTAAACCGACATCCCTAAAAATTTGGAATAACACGAGAACTAATCAAAATATTTTACTTACAAGAACATTACATTTAGAAACGTGATCACTGGTCTGAAATCTTTCCCACAAGAACAGTTGTTTAAATATTTTCCACTTCTTGTCCAGTGTAGTCCGGTTAAAAGGTGTTCGGATAAGAGGGAATCTACTCTATTAATGGAACATCAGTATCCAAAAGTCAATGATTGCGGTCACAGAATTTGTTTTTGCAAAATCAGGAATTATATGCCTGAGTTTAGTTTTTAGTTTACTGACTCTAACTAGGCTCGATAGAAATACAAAAATTGAAATGATAAAAACTCTTTGACTGTCATTATTCATTGTGAACAAAAGTTATATTACTAAAATACAATAATCAGTATTCATTCCACAAAAATATTTTTTGACAATATACATAAGATATATTACAACAATAAATTCCCTTACTGTTAGTACATTAACTACAAACACTAAATTTATATATAGTATATACATTGGTATAGAGTAATTTATCAGTCATTAGTTTTACACAACGAATAGTTGCTTTGACTAGAATCTTTTACCTTACTCTCTTACTGTTGTTCTTCTGTATAAAACTAAAATATCAGTATTAGTAGCTCTAAATAAATAATCAACTAAATATAACTTTGAAGCTATGGACCTACATAAATTAAATGGTAAGCTAGCTTATGGAACAAAAAGAAAAAAAACAAGCTGATCCCAAATTATAAAAAAAGAAAGATAGCACACACTACTTTTCCTGTATAAAGTACATCTTCACTTAAGCCATTTACTTACTTTTGACACTCCAGCAAGCATTTAAACTACAATGAGAACCCTATGTTTCCATTTAGCTTATCAATATTATTTCATTCTGCGGCAACTTTCCTCTCAGGATTGATTTTCACCCGGAAGCATTCAACAACTGGTTTCTCTTCAACCATACTCTCTCTGACTTTGAAGCATTGCACCGATGGAACTATTTCTGTCTCGGGATTCATTCTGAGGTAATCTGGGATTCCGAGGTCTTGCATTGGCTTCATCCTAAAAATATCTTGTAACCTGATTTCTTCTGCATTGGTTCTCATTCTGAAAGAAAAAGAAATAGATTATTTCAATAGAAATGAAGGTTTTGGCCATACTTTCACCATATGCTTTACATTGAAGTCAAACAAAAAAAAAAACTTAACCCTTCCAGGGCTATGGACGGATATATCCGTCAATCTTTATTTACTTTCCGGGCTGAAAACTGATATATCTGCCCCGAGAAATTTCTTTTCTGGGATAAAGAATAAAGATGGATATATCCGTCCAAAAAACGAATTGATATACTATGTTTATAATAGGGTAAAAACATTGCATTATAAATGGGTTATTTTGTTTTTGTTGTTGGCAATAATAATTGCTGCAGCTGTTTCGGCTATTTTGCACCATAGAGTGTGCGTAAGTAAATATTGCTGTCACTTCACACATGGTTGTTAGTGAGTGATGTTTACATTTTGTGTTTTCTACTTTATTTTTATGTTATTGAGCTAAAGTTACTAATGCAAACGATCTGAAATTTGAAGATGTTATCGAGATGCTTAATAAAAGTATGTCTGAAGGGGGTTTTATACTTGACAGTGAAAATAATAGTATGTAATGTGATAGATATGATGTACCTGAAGAACGGTCTTTACGTAGTGGAAGTCTTGGCGGGGAAAGGGATTGAGGACATGGGAGCGGAACTGAATGGTTTAGATTTACTTCAGAATGATAGGTACATTTTTATGAAAAAAATGAAGGGAAGGAATAGCCTAAGGTTGACGGATATATCCGTCTGCCGCCCACAAGAATACTCAAGATTATTGGCAGTGTTCATATTTTGTAATTATCACTGAGGGCTGCAGACGGATATATCCGTCCACCTTATGTTTTTTGTGGGCCAAAGACGGATATATCCGTCAAATCAAATTTTATTTTCTTCATAACTTTAGTACAAAAATTAGTTCAGCCCTAAGGAAAATCCTTTTATGATCCATGAATTATTTCAAGTGAAATAAGTACAAAACACAACCACTTTAGCTTTTAATTTTTGGCAAAAAATAATTAAGCTCCAGCCCTCCATTTAATTTAGCCCTGGAAGGGTTTTAGAAGGTACCAGCAACCAGAGCATAACTTATAGGTTTTTATCAGATAAATCATAACAAATGCAATAACTTTTGAACTGTACTTTTTACAGCATTAGGGGTTGTGCCAATTTGTTCAAGGTTAAATGGACTATAACCCCCTAAATTTCAGTCAAAATCGTTCAAAAAGTTATGTCAAAATCATAAGTTTTCCATTATTTTTAAAACCACAATTTACATAAAGGGAAAAATTCCAGGGCTGACTATAGCGTTACAGAGACGTTCCCTATTAATTTGATTACCTCTCTCGTTTTTTGAACACTTTTTCTACATCCTAACACTTTACTCCACTCATATCAGTATACTGGTGATGGACATCAATAGCGGTTGATGTCTGAGACCACAGAACTCTCTTCACATTAAATACTTTGTGTGCGTGTTGATTTTTTTCACAAAATTTTTTTTTACTATGAAGAGAATAACCGTCCCAATTGGGTGGTAACCAACTAGAATTTTAGTGGATAAATTAAGGAAATAGAAATTGTTCTTAGTTTTGAACTAGCTTGACTGCCATGATAGCTTGATGGAGAACTTATCTTGCAGACAACCCTCATAGATATAAAGTGTAGCAATGTCGTACCTCATATCAAACCCGGCCATGTTGAGTTCCGCAGGTACAGCCATGGGTACGGCTCCGTCGCCGCGGTGCACCCTGTTGTGGTGACGGATGAGGTAGCTGTCCTTGGCGAAGGTGCGGCCGCAGACATTACAGCCGAACATGTGTCTGGCTGCGTGAGTCCGCATGTGTTCCGTGTAGTGAACCTGCACAGTACATCCAGATCATTGGTTAAAATACCAGCAGTAATGTCAAGTTATTCTGTTGTATGTTGAAAAATGGTTTTTACTTTCTAATTTAATTATCTTTGCAATGGTCTAATTTAATTTCCATAACTTGTTTCATCAACCAAATTGATAATATACACTGCTTTAGCCAACATACCAAAATGAATTTTGACTGAACATTTTAAATAAAAATTTTTTAATGACTTTAAATCGCCAAAAAATGATCAGACACTCTAGTAAATTTTCTCACCATTCATGACTTAAGGCTAATTGTCTCACCAACCACCTCGGGTCTGATTTGGACTTGATTTGAAGGGGTAGAGTGTTACACAATTTGATTGGATTGCAAGCAAGAAGTTTTTGAATGGGATGGTGTTCTCAAATGGGAGTTATTACGAATTAGTAAGTGGCTAATTTGTGAAAATGAGAAACACTTTACTTTACGAGAGTGCGTGCCTAGGGAATATGTACAAGGAAATGCAAGAATCATTGATGTTCAACACACATCCCTACATTTATATCTGTAAAATCAAATAAAATAATTTAAGTTTTTATTTTGTCAAATAGTACAACAACATTACAATATGTAACTGAAAAAATATCACATGCGTTCACAGCTCACAGGTTGTCTGTGAGTGATACGAGTTCTCGCTGGCTGTGTGATTGGTAGTTGCTATTTCCCAGCTGTGTGATTGGTAGTTGCTATTTTCCATTTTTTATTTGATGTTTTGTTTTCTTTATCCAACCTAATTTTAGACAGGACAAGGGGGCTACGGATAGTAGGGCTATAGATTAAGTAAGTAATCTAATAGACTCAGTTTCTATTGCCGACTGTTTGAGATATTTAAATATAGGCCTACTAGGCTATAGATGACTGTAAAATACGTGAATTTTTGAATTAACTAAAAAACCATAACATACTCCCTTAGCTTATTCATAAAATGCCCCTGCTTATTCATAATTTTGAAGCTTTTTTCTAACAAGCTTCAAAATTTACAATGCGATGAGGAATCTACTTGTGTTGCTTAGTCTATGCTATAACTGTGAGTGGGGAAAATTGTGCATTAATACTCTTTTCTTGCCCCTGCTATGTTTTTTTTTCTAACTTATTTTAAACACACTGCATTTATTGTATACACATTGCACCTGTTTTCATGTTTGCTCTAGTCTTTGCATACCTATGTTTTTTATAAACTTCAGTATTTTATTTTTAAGATGACTGTGATACTTTTTGCATGTACTCTGCACTTGTTTATATTTTATTGTCTATATTTATTTAGCCTTATTGCCTGTAAACTTTAGGCTACTATTATGACGTTCATCCATTGCATGTGTTGTACATAGCATTTATCGATGAATAAAAATTCTTGATTCTTGATTCTTGATTCTAGCAGATTTGTCATCCTTATGGAACAGCTGAAGCCAATTTTATTGTTAGTTCTGTACGTCCAACTGTAGAGATTGTGTTTTGTTTACAATTTGTTTCTTTTTATTTCAGTAATTTAAAACCTCATTTAACCAAATAAAATGATATAGGCCTAATCATAAACAATAACTGGTCTCCTAGTTATATATCCAAACAGTAAAGCACAAATCATGAAAATAACCCTAAAATAATAGAAACAAAATTTTGTCTACCCCAGCGATTAGTGAGTACGTACATGAACTAGACACAAAAAACAAGCTTCAAAATTTACAATGCGATGAGGAATCTACTTGTGTTGCTTAGTCTATGCTATAACTGTGAGTGGGGAAAATTGTGCATTAATCTAACAGCCTTTTACTGAATATGTGAAGGTAAGTTTACCTTAGAGGTGAAGACAACGCTACACCGGTCACACGCCAAAGGACGATCCCCCACATGGCTGAGGCGATGGGTGTTGACATAACTCTTCACAGCGAATCTGAGAAACAGTATGTTGTAGCATTGGATTACATTGTATTTATACAACATCGACTCACTAGAGTCTGTATTTTAACCCTTTGAATGCAGTTGGGGGGTGGGGGGGGATATAAATGGTATTATTAACTGTAGCTTTTTTGTTATTCTGTTTGTCGGACATTAGGCTGGGAGACGCAAGCTCTAGTAAAGGGTGATTTTTTTATTAATGCGTTTTTTAAAACTAAATAAAAAATGAAAAACAACCTGCATTGACATAAAAATGCATTAATTTGAACTACAGTGCCATGACATTAACGTTTAAAAATGATTTCTGGCATATGGGCTCCATTCCGTTCGCGTAGAAAGCCCAATCGAGAAGTCCAATTTTCGAATACTCTTTCCAGCAGCTGTGGTTGAATTCCGCCAATAACTCGACGAATGTTAGCTTCCAAGTCATTTAAAGTTTCAACACTATCGGGCAATGTTACGGGACTTTTTCGTTCCTCAGCTAAACGAACTTTAAGTGGATTTAGAAAATGTCTGGTTCCAACAAGACGGCGCGACGTGCCACACGGCAAACGACACAATTGGCCTCTTGGCAGAAACATTTGGTGAACGTATCATCTCATTTAGAGGTAGTGTCAACTGGCCCCCACGGTCGTTTGATATCACGCCAACAAGACTTCTTTCTGTGGGGATATGTTAAGTCTCAAGTATACGCTGACAAGCCACAAATTTTAAATGACTTGGAAGCTAACATTCGTCGAGTTATTGGCGGAATTCAACCACAGCTGCTGGAAAGAGTATTCGAAAATTGGACATCTCGATTGGGTTTCTACGCGAACGGAATGGAGCCCATATGCCAGAAATCATTTTTAAACGTTAATGTCATGACACTGTAGTTCAAATAAATGCATTTTTATGTCAATGCAGGTTGTTTTTCATTTTTTTATTTAGTTTTAAAAACCGCACCAATAAAAAAATCACCCTATATATCCAAGGCTTATAAAGTGTAAATTATACATCTCCCAAAAATAACACCTTAGCCTACATCATATTTACAAATCTGTTTATATTACCTTTTATTGCAAATATCGCAAGAGTATGGACGTTCACCAGTGTGTACACGTTTGTGCGTGTTGAGACTGCTCTTCTGGGTGAAGCGTTTCTGGCAGATCTCACATTGGTAAGGTCTCTCTCCTGTGTGCGTGCGCATGTGCACCTCCAAGTACGGCTTACGGCAGAAACTAGCCTCGCACATCTGAGGGGATGGAAATAAGTTTAGTTAAACAAGTAAAAAATGTTACAGTCTTGACTTACCTGATACAAATTGATGTGTCCATTCCAAATGTACTGGCTTATACTATATTTGTTAATTTACATATGTTCTGTTCAGTTGTTTTTGTTTATATGATGATTCAGTTATTGTGATTAAATAAAGTAAATTTGAGCTACTGCATTAAAATGTTACATTACTAAAATATCTATCAATGGCGACGAGAATAATGGAAGATTTAGAAAAAATAGCAGAAGATGTAAATAAAGTTAAGAAATTGAAATCATTGCGAAGAACAGTCAAGTTTCAGCTTGGAAATGTAAAGAAGTATGTGGACAAAGGATCATATTCTATCAATGAAATCCAAACTAGACTTGATTTGTTAGCTGAGATTAAATCAAAGTATGACCTAATTCAAGACAAGATCGACTTCTATACAGAAGAAGAAGATTTAGAAAACGAGCTAACTTACAGGGAAAGTATTGAAAACATGCTGATTGATACAAAAGCAAGATTATTGGATGCCCAATTACTTCATATGCCAAGTATTCAACATATTCCCAATCAAAATAGTTGCACCACTGAAAATCTACAAGCTAATACACCGATTCCAGTTCTTCCTACTTCAAATTTGAGCTTTACTCCTTACGATGAAAGGGAAAACTTTTCTAATTTTGCCAGAAGACTGGAGGTTTTTATGACTTTAAAAGGTATAAATGATCCTAAGTTAAAACTTTTACACTTTTACATGCCTTGACACCTCTTCTACATCAGAAACTATACGACCTGTGTACACCAGACAATCCTATAAATAAAGAGTATGGGGAGCTTGTGACCTTGCTTGACAACTTTCTAGATCCTAAAAAAAGTATTTTGGCTTTACAACACACATTTATTGGTCGAATACAGGAAGAAGGAGAATCTATTTCAAACTTTGCTACAGAACTAAAAAGGTTGTCAACTAATTGTAAATTCAATTGCGAAGCTTGTGGAAAATCTGTATTAGACATGCTTTTACGACTACAACTCATACGTGGACTTAATGACAAAGACATTAAAACTCAGCTTTTACAGAAATGTGACCACAAACGATTTGTAGAAATTCTTAACACAGCTACTACGATGGAACTTTCAAAATTTGAAAGTACTTTGATATGTCAAAAGAGTGGAAACGTAGACATAAATCAAGTAAAGTTTAAAGCTAAAAATAATATTACATCCAATGAAAAAATTCACAGACCTAGAACAAAATCATACAACACAGGATCTTATAAATCTTATAAATCGTACAGGTAATAAATTTCGTGTAACAGATTTTGAGACACTAAAAGGAAAATGCTACCGATGTGGGAATATATACCATAGAGCGAATGTTTGTCCAATGATTGATGAAACCTGTAACACCTGTGGAAAGATCGGACACATTTCAAGAGTATGCCTTAGTAAACATAAAAACAGTAAAGGGCAAGTTCATTACACTGAAAATAATGACATTTCTGAAGACAATATCCATGAAATTAATTTACTGTCTGACAAAAAGAGAGATGACAAATTTCACATTGATATAAAATTGGAAGGTAAAAACGTTACTTTTGAGTTGGATACTGGAGCATCACTTACATCGATTTCTTATGAAGACTACAAAAGACTAATTCCTTCCAAAAGACTTTACAAGACTGGTGTAGAGCTGCGCACCTACACAGGGGAGATCATAAAACCTAAGGGGGTAACATACGTAAAATGTGACTATAAGGGACAGTGTTTCATGGGAAAAATCTTTGTCATTAATCAACATGTCGATAGGATTTTTGGGCGTGAATGGATGAGAGAAATAAAACTAGACTGGGGAGAAATAAAATCTATACAAATCTATACACATGAATGAAACAAGGAAGCCGGAGCTGGATTCATTACTTGCAAAATATGAATGTTTATTTGACTAAAACATAGGGTGTATTCCAAACTTTGAAGCAAAACTTAACTTGAAGGACAACTCAAGACCTATATACATAAGGGCCAGACAGGTTCCATATGCCATAAGGACAAAAGTTGAAAATGAACTCAGCCGTCTGGAAACCCAAAAGATTATCACCAAGGTAGACAACTCGGAATGGGGAACGCCTATTGTACCTGTCATAAAACCCAATGGTGACATTCGTATCTGCGCTGATTTTAAAGTTACTTTGAACAAAGTCGTGAAAGACGAGAAATACCCAATTCCGAGGATTGAAGACATTTTTTCTACAATGAGTGGAGGCAAATACTTCTGTTCTCTTGATATAAGCAATGCTTATTTACATATGAAAATGGATGAAGAGAGTAGCAAAATGCAAACACTAAGTACTCATAAAGGGTTGTTCAAAGTAAATAGACTGATGTTTGGGGTTAAGGTTGCTCCTTCCCTGTGGCAAAAATTCATGGATTCCTTACTACAAGGTATGGATGGCGTACAATGTTTTTTCCACGACATTTTAGTCCAGGGGTCAACTTACGAAGAAACTCTTCTGAGATTAGAGAAGGTATTAGAAGTTCTACAGAAGCACAACTTACATTTGAATGGAGACAAATGTAAGTTTTTTGAAAAAAGTATCAAATACCTCGGGCACATTATTGATGAAAAAGGTCTACATTTACATTTACATTTGTTGTCATGAGAGCCGAAGCCCCCTGACTGCTTACCCGGTACCTATCCTTCAGGACATACCCGGGCCCCCTGATGTAGGCCGAAGCTTACGCATCAACCTTTAGCACATCATGGGCGGATGGCTTAAGGTCATCAGGCTCGCCGGCTGCCGAAGCAGACCCTTCGGAAAGAGGGTTGCCCCTCAATCCTAACCAGGGATTCCGGCTGCTTGTTTAAGCGTCACTCCACCTGGGTTCCACTAGGTCGGAACCTAGAGGTCCATAGTAGAGCGCCCCGACGCATTTAGTGCAAGCAACACTCGGGACCTATCTAATCCCTGACAGGCAGAACCCGCCATCAATAGCCAGGAGGAAGGGGACCATCAGCACGCTGACGGGGGGAACCCCAACCTCCCATTTACACCGCTGCCCGATCGAGGCCTGACCCATTGCTGGGAACCAGAGATATCCAGAGCGATAGATCCCCAGATACCCCTGGCGGGCTCGGACCCAGCACCCGATCTACTTCGTTTGCCCGTCAGACCCAACATCACTGCCAGGCCATCAGGGTTTCCCAAAAGGAGGCAGGTATAGAAGTGAGACCCACCCGGATGAACCTATCCACCAGAGGTGGCGACACCCTTGACTCAATTGAGGTTCCGGGAAGAACCCCCCACACTCAAGATAACCATACCGTCCGTGCTCAGAGACAGGGATAGGTTTGCATAAGTACCTACAAACCGTTGCCCTCACACTGCGGAAAGTTACGTTGCCCTTGAGTGTCCCCGTGAGCTGCGGGTACTTGCCCGTTTTCACCTCCAGGAAAGGTTACTTCCAAAGTCGAGGATTTGCCCACTGAATGCTGGTCGCACACAACAAGCAGGCCAAAGCCCAAAGAACCACAGACACAGGTAGGTTAGAGATTATGATGTACTTCCATCTCTCCTAGAGCTAAACACCCCTCCATCCTGGATAAAGGAATGTCACTGGGACCCGATGCCCAGTCGACCATGTCTGTGGCCAACTTGAAAATGCCGATACCAACACGGAGCATTTACCTCCCCTCTGGGGGCTAGGTATTTCACCTCCCAGGACGAGGCTACTTCCAAAGTCGAGGATATGCCTCACAAAATGTCAGTCGAACACAACAGGTAGGACTCAGTCACAACCACAGTTACAGGTAGATGAGGAGAGGCGGAATTAACGGCGTCACTGAGAGCTAAACACCCCCCACACCCTGAATGGAGGGAATGTCACTGGAGGCTCCCCCTAAGGGGCTGGCGCTTACCAGTCGTCCATAACTGTGGTCTACCTGAAGTGCCGGGTCTGACACCGGGCAGTTACCTCCCCTCTGGGAGAGCTAGGGTCCGCGTGGTCGCCCAGGCCACGAACCCACGCAAGCGTGAGCCCCCTGCGGTTCATGAAAAAGGTCTACACAAAAGTCCTGAGAAAACTGTAGGGATTCAAAATGCTAGAAGACCTACAAATGTAAGTGAATTGAAGACATTTTTAGGCTTGGCCACGTACTACAGCAAATTTATACAAAACTACTCAACTAAAGTATATCCTTTGACAAGATTACTTACAAAGAATGCTAAGTTCATCTGGAGCTCTGATTGTGAAAATAGCTTTCAAAAAGTCAAAGAAGAAATAACAAGTGAACAAATTTTAACTCATTTTGACCCCAATCTGACGGTTACTCTTGCAACAGATGCATCACCTGTAGGACTCGGAGCAGTTCTTTCTCACAGACTAGGAAATGGTACAGAAAAACCTATTGCATTTGCATCACGCACTCTGACAAAAAGTGAAGTAAAATACAGTCAGATTGATAAAGAAGCTGCAGCTATTTATTTTGGAATAAAAAAATTCTTTCCATACATATATGGACGAAAGTTTGTCTTGATAACCGATCATAAACCCCTTGTGTCCATATTCGATCCTCAAAAGACATTACCTACTATGGCAGCAACTAGAATCTTCAATTACGCTCATTTTCTTTCAGGGTTTGACTATACAGTTGAATTTAGAGGAACAGAAAAACACGGCAATGCAGACTTTTTGTCGAGATTTCCACATGAAAAGTCGCTACCAAACTCAATTGATGATTATTCTGTCTTTCAAATCAACCAATTAGAAACACTCCCAGTTACAAAACAACAGATTGCAGATGAATCACTGAAGGAAGAACACCTTAAAACCATCATTCAACATTTAGAAGAAGGAAAGAGCCTTGAGAATCTTGGATACAATGATTATGAATTTACATTACAAGACGGATGTTTATTTAAAGGTAATAGAGTTGTCGTTCCAAAAAATTTGAAATCAAAAGTACTTACAGAAATTCATTTTGGTCACTTGTGAATAGTTAAAATGAAGGCTTTAGCGAGAAGCTACTGCTATTGGCAAGGCATCGATCATGATATTGAAAATCTGGCTAAGACTTGTAAACAATGTTGTTTAAAACAAAACAAACCACCTCAAACGACTCCTCATCCATGGCAAACCCCTGATGGTCCCTGGCAAAGAATACATATAGATTTTGCTGGGCCTTGTTTTGGAAACAATTATTTTTTTATTGTCGTTGACGCTTACACAAAATGGGTCGAGGTATTTCAAACAAAAAATACTTCTTCTGATTGGTGTGTCACAAAATTAAGACGATTATTTTCTACATTTGGAATTCCACTTACTTTAGTGTCAGATAATGGCAGACAATTTTGTGGACATACTTTTGAAACATTTTTGAAAAACTACGGTGTGTTACACAAGACAAGTGCTCCATTCCACCCTTCTTCCAACGGTCAAGCGGAGAGATTTGTCCAAACTATAAAGAAAGGTCTACAAGCCATGAAAGATGAAGGAGGGAATATGGAAATTAAGTTACAGAGATTCTTGATGCAAATGAGACAATCAAGAAACTCCACTGGATCAAATTCTTACTTCCTAATGTTTCAGAGAAATGTGAGAACCAGACTAGATTTGATGATAACAAATAACACACCATCAAACAGTGACTTTAAATGCGCAAAGGGAATAAGAGACTTTAAAAAGGGGGAAAGAGTTCAAGCTTATGATTTCAGAGACAAGAAAAACAAGTGGATGTTTGGTAAAGTAAAGAGCAAGGATGGACAGTTAATTTACGTTCTTGAAATGGATGATGGATCTATATGGAGGCGGCATATCAACCACATGTTACCTTCTAAATTTAAGGGGGAGGATTGATGTGTCCATTCCAAATGTACTGGCTTCTACTATATTTGTTAATTTACATATGTTCTGTTCAGTTGTTTTTGTTTATATGATGATTCAGTTATTGTGATTAAATAAAGTAAATTTGAGCTACTGCATTAAAATGTTACATTACTAAAATATCTATCACAAATATTAGTATTGTTTTAAAAATAAAGTCTTATACAATAGGCCTATAGCTGGTTATAATACTAGGTCGGTGATTTGGTGGTTCATATGATAGCACAACAGGCAATGAATCAAAGGCAGCAATGTTGTGGGCTTGTATCCAGGAGACGCCACTATTTATCAGTAAAGTTCATCCTTGTATTGTATCAGCTAACTCTTTGCTTTCTTTGATAAGTTCTATGCACAGGCCGGAGGCCAATATAAACAGACATATGCAAGGATAAAATAGAACATCAACTTCTTTAACACACAAGAAACACACTGTGGGAGACTGCCTTTGTGACTGTAGTTTTGGAATAAATTTAGTTGGGCCAATTAAAAGACCCTACTTCCTAGTCAGACAGGCACTCCACTCCAACTGTTACAAAGCTTCCCAAAGATCAAGAAAATTTGGGTTTAGTAAAAATTAGCCACTTTGTATGTCACATTCATGAGTTGATACTTGCTTAAAACTTGCAGTATGAATTTACCAGACAAATTTTCTCCCATACGTTTTGTTTGTATTAATGGGTATGATAATCTTCTGAGATTAATAGTGTAATCAAGAATTTCTACCAAAGGCCTATGTAGGCCTATTAAAAAGTTTATCGAAATTTATAACATGAAATAAAATATTTGAACATGGAAAATAGTTCTTGGTTAGGCCTACTTACGGTGCAGGCAAACGGCTTGTTCTCTGAGTGCATTTTCATGTGGACATAATAGGACGATGGGGAAGACAGGATCTTGCCACACACGTTGCATATTTGTGTTTTCTTTGTACTGTTGGTATCAATGGAGGGCGGTTGTTCGTCGATTGTCAAGGCAGTGGGAGAGTTGCGGTCGGATTTGTCACTACTGCTTTCATCTTCACTCTCCTCGTTTTGGCAGTTGTAAAAACTCATCTGGAAATTTTGGGAATTGAATAAAATACATAGCCTAGGTGGAAAAAGCCCAGCTGTAATTGGAAAATTGTCTTATAATTAGTAGAAAAGTAACTAAGGACCTAAGAGTATTTTTTTTTGCTTTGGCTTAAATGTTTCAGTAGTGCCACAGAGAAGTAAGGTAAACAGGAAACATTCAACAGTACACATAAGTGGTGCATAACACTAGTCACTGAGTGTCTAGGGCAAAATCCAACACTGCCCTCCTTACCCTCATGTACTAAAACGCTCATGGTGGGGGAAGACCCACTATCTACACTATCTAAACTATCTTCACTGCTTCTAATTTTTATTGTTATTGTTATTCTTTGTCGCTTTTGTTATTTTTGTTATTGTTATTGTTATTTAAGATTGTTAATTATATAGCATCTATTTACTTATTACTTGTTAATTGTTATTTAGTATAGTACCTATGTTCTTGCTGTTACCACTCACTGTGCTACTTCATTGTACTGTATACCACTTCACTGCATGATTTTTGCCATCCACAACATTGTATCCATTCTTGTAAACTGGTGTAAACCGTGGGAAATAAATAAATAAATAAATAAGACCCTGTACAGTGCTCGCTGCTCGGGCTCTTCCTAGCTTATCACAAGTATAGCCATAAAATGTTCTATTAACATTTTAAGAAACCACCTTTACAACAATAATCATAATTAGGTTTAACAAGTTCGCTACTGAGCATCACATATATGCGACGCCGCAGTCATTGCCACAGACTGAGGTATACATTTGAATCTTACACATAGACCAGCTGTCACTTGGTTAACAGTACACACAGACCACGGGCGAAAACCTGTAAAACAGTGATCATTTACATTGTAATACGCTGCAATAGTGTTTGTAAATAATTTATTCTTGTTTTTTTGTATTTTTTATAACCTTTTGTAATGTCGCATATTTGCGACGCACGGTCTACAGGGAAGACAATAGTGAAAATTATCATAGTTTTCTTGAAATAGCCTAAACGCCGCATATATGCGACAGTTAATTTTTTTTGTGTTTTGAGGTGAAAGTAAGTAAAAAAAACAGATTATTCAAGAACAGTTTATAACTGAACAAATATAAAAGCAACATCTATGTAAGGATAATGCCAAGATAGACCAAGTGACGCAGTTGTACGTCAGAAATAGAAAAAAATTGTACTATTGCAGTAGCAAACGTGTTAAACAAACTTGTAAAATCTTTATGCCATATTATTCTTTGTTCTGCAGCAGACTAGAATGTGTAGTTTTTAAGATGACAATTTAAAAAAAATTTGAATTTATATATATCCGGCACAACATATTTAGAGCTGAAAGTGCAAGGTTGTACCAAACAAGTTTCCTCTGTACCTCACTTCTCTGGTGTCACCTAAGGTTACATTGGCAACAATATACTGTCCCCACCAGATTTTCCTGTAATACTTTAGCAACAATATTGGTTTCAAAGGGTTGCAATAGTTTTGTAGATAATTATCTCAAAAACTGAAAGATATTCTATTTCAAATACACTATAACAATAACTTAGAACATATACCTATGTGGTCGAACATTTTTTTTTTGTCCTAGGACGCTAGGCACGAGCCTGGGATCTTATCTTATCTTATCTAACAGGGGCAGGTCGAGACCTTAAAGCACTTCATCCTAAATCAAATTATTGCGCACCCCAGACAATTGCTTTCTTGTTGACCTACAAGTTAAGGCGCCCAATGAATGCCTGTAGCTTCCCAATTAGTTCATCCTCAGGAAGGTATCTACCTCTAGCCATATTTCCAAGAGTTATCAAACTAGCGTCAGAGAGCTCGTTACAATCAAAGAGTAAGTGATCAGCTGTCTCTTCTGACCTATCACAGTACCTACAGATCGGTTCACCATCATATAAGCCCATCCGTTGTAAATGTTTCCTGAATCTTCCATGACCAGTTATCACTGTTATCAGTTCAACAGTTAATTTAATTCTTCGTCTGTCTAGTCTCAAGAGGTCAGAGGCGACCTTTTTAGAAGGCCTAAACAGAGTAAGCTTGCTGACCCTAAGAAGGGGAACATCGACCCAGCGTTTGCGATGCTTTTCCTTGGCCCATGACGCAATCGAAGAACATGCACTGTTTCGTGAGATGCCACAGAAGGGTTGTGGGCCTATCATTGATGTCGCAGAGGCAGTATTTGCCAATCTGTCTGCAGCTTCATTACCTTTAATGCCTGAATGTCCTGGCACCCAGCAAAGCGTAAGGTCATTTCTCCTACTCAACTCAGACACAGAAGCAGGACAGTCCCACATGAGCCTGGAGTTGAATTCGTAAGAGTTTAATGCTTTTAAGGTCGCTTGACTATCAGTATAGATATTGATTGTTTTGTCTCTGATATCTTTGTTAAGATGTTCTCGAGCACAAACCAGAATGGCAGTGACCTCTGCTTGAAAAACAGTTGGGTACACCCCCATTGGAAGACAAATGCCAGTGCCTCCATTTGTCCAATGCACACCTGCTCCAGTGCCCCCATTATTGATCTTAGAACCATCAGTATAGCATTCTAAATCACCTGTGGGTATGGGTCCTTTTCCGCCAGACCAATCCTTCCTATCTGGTATTAGTACTTTGAAAGGCTTTCCAAAGGAGTATTTTTTGGACATGTGATCTGAAGGCAAGTCCAATTCATCATTATGTACCACCTGAACAATTTTGGAGTGCCCTTTATTGTTTCCTGAGGTTATCCATAAGTTTTCGCATCTAAGGCGTTGGGCTGTTTTACTTGCTACCACCTTGATGTAAATGTCGATAGGTAGCATATCAAGCAGACAGTCTAGAGCCGCTCCAGGACAGCTGCTTACTGCCCCAGTTATCATTATAAGAGCAAGCCTTTGAACTCCTGCTAAAGCTTTGACGTCTATAGTAGATTCCATCTTTGGCCACCACACAAGTGAACCATAAGTAAGGGCGGGTCGAACAACAGATACATACAGCCAGTGCAAAAGTTTAGGCTGTAACCCCCATGTGCCACTTTCACTTACCATCCGCCTGCATGCCATAAGGGACCATTTGCCACGCTCAGTGACTTTTTGAAGATGTGGTCCCCAGTGAAGTGATCTGTCCAAAATTACACCAAGATACTTCACCTGATTCTGCAGGTCTATTACAGTGCCCTGCAGTCTTAGTGGGCCGATCCCATCCAGTTTCCTCCTTCTTGTGAAGGGTACCATTACAACTTTCCTGGGATTTATAGAGAGCCCAACTTCCTGGCACCAACGGTCCACTACCCTTAAAGCTCTATTCATAAGGTCAGTTATGGTTTCGTGGAACTTTCCAACCACAAGGATTGCAACATCATCAGCGTAACCTAAGGCGAAAACCCCACTTTCATTGAGGGTCCTTATAAGGTCATCTGCTACCAGATTCCAAAGGAGGGGAGAGAGAACCCCCCCCTGAGGGCATCCTCGAGTAGTTCTTGCCTCGATAGTGTCATTATGGAGTGAGAGCCTAACCTTCCTACTGTGAAGCAAGGATTCAATCCATCTACATATTATACCGTGAAAACCTCTTGCTCTCACCGCATTAAGAATCGCTGGAGTACCAGTATTATCAAAAGCACCTTGAATATCGAGAAAGGCACCCAGGGCCACTTCATTGTTTTTCACATTACTTCAGGCTAGACCTAGGGGTTGCGGCATTATCACTTAGATAAAATCCATTGGTGACTTGGCGGGGATCGAACCCGGGACCTTAGCGACTGAAGTCCCGCGCTCTAACCACTACGCCAGCTCGCTCCCCATGTGGTCGAACATTGGCCTATCTAAGGAGAAGGGGTCAAAGAACTTTTTCTAGGGGCTTCTTATTTTGGGCTAGTTGTATACAATCATAGACAAATAGAATAGGTTAAGACTGACAGCAGTGCTGCAGTTAGAATATGTTCTGGCATCCACCGCTAGGTGTGCCGTGTAGTTACGGCGTACACCGCTGCAGCATCAAGCAGAATTGAATAGCGAGGAGCCGATGACGGCAGTGAATGATAGATGTGTCAGCTACGACAAAACCATGTCAACGGCCAAACACAACATCTAGGCTAGGTCTTTTAGTCACGATAACACTAATCTTTCTCCTCTCTATGACATTATATAGCCTACCATAGCACTACTGTGTTTTTTACCTCTGGCTCCACTTTAATCTGGTACTGTTTTTGCTGTTGAAGGAACTCCATGGCCCGGTACTGGTTCATGGCTAAATTGAAAGTGGCTTGGTTGAAAAACTGGTTCTCCGGCATCATACGAGGTGGAGGTACACATCTTACCTCTGCTTCTGCAACAAATAAAAAGCTCAGTTTAACTATTTAAACCTATTTGGCATTCATTCCAAATCTTTTTTTCTACACAAAAGTGGCATTTTTAATTGAAGTCAAAGTTAGTTACTGATAATTTAAACAATTTTATATGAAAAGCAGTTTGAACTTATTGAAGTTTCTGTTCTGATCTTTTCTACGTTAGGCCTACGGTATATTGACTTTTGGATTAGTGTCAGTTATAGACACAGGCTTCTAACTGAATTTCAAAAGCTCATGTACGAACTAAGAATCATAAGAGCGAGGCCAAACTAGTTAGCGTATTTTTATGTTTAAGGACGCAAAATAACAAAAAATGTAAAAAAGCACGAGAAAAGGCAGAAGGGAAGCAAATTTAATTAAGCTAAGTAATTATGTTATCATTTTACTTTTCACTCGCATTCATATATCACTTTACGTTCATCTATATTTTCAATCTTTCAACATTGTATCATAATGTCAGCATGTCAATCCTGTTTAAATGGTGTAACCATAGATAAATAAATAAGGTGTTTTTAAGTAGCCTGTGTAGTTAGTCTAAACTACGGAACATTTGAGCTAGCTTATATGACACCCTTATCTTTTGTTAGGCTAAGTTTTATTAAAAGTCAAGTCTACAGAAGAATCTCAAATAAAGGGGTTCTTAGCAGGGCAACGTCAAGGACTTGAGGGACGTCGGATCTTGATGAACTTAAACAAGGCAAAATAATTAATGTTAAAACAAACAGAAAATGAAATACTTAAACAGATGTTTGGCTCAGCAAAGAGGTAAATTAAAAGAGAAGTGTGGTCGACAACTACAATAAGATTAAGAAGCTCCTGTCAATACATCTTCCGGTAATGTATAGACAGAGTCCTAACTTACTGTAAGTTACCTAATAAAAAAATACCATAGCAATCAGGTGTGGTACTTTACTTATAGGACTAGGCTATATATATATTTATCATGATACTCACTAACTGTACCGTAAGCTTACTCACTGCAAAACACTGTCATTTATCCATATAACTGTCGGTAGCCAGAAATTAAAAGTAAGAGGGCATTTAAGATGAGTAGTGATGTGACTTAAGAAAATTATAATTAAACCTAGGGGTCATAAAATAAGGAAACCTCGACATTGCAAATCTAAGACCGGCAAGTAATTTGGTTGTTTCCAAACAAAAATGATACATAATAATTAATAAGTTATCCATCTAAGTTAACTTATACAGTATTATAAAATGATTTAGGTGTTAACCCGCACCATATTAAATAAACCTAAGCCCCACTTCATACTACAGTACCGGTACAGACAAATGGAGACACTCAAGTAACTCAAAGGCCTTAAAATTGCAGATAGGCCTAACCTACACAATTTAAAATAAAAAAATCCTTACAAATAAAAAAAAAAACTCGCAGCGAAGAGAATTACTCCAATTTTGATAAGCTAGGCCTGAGTAAGTCTAACTATGTAGGAAGACCTGCTATATAACTTTTGCTACCTATATAACATTTTTATATAACTTTTACTATATAACATTGCTATATAACTTTTGCTATAGGGTACAAAAAAGTTACAGACAATTTTAGTGATTCCGGTGCTCGTGCTATATGCTATATGTAGCACAACCTCATTCGTATTGCGTATTGAAATGCCGAAGAGACCTACTGCTCTATAGTAGCTATAGTAGCTATCACGGTGATCTTAGGATTTATTTAGGAAGTCAGAGGCGGAAGCGAAGGTTTTAGGTTTGACCCCTTCTTGCTTCAAGAAATAAAGTACAGTTTATCATATTTATTACGGGACCTTAATGATGACGATCATGCTGACGATCCATAATTAAAACGCAAAATAAGGCAATGGTAGCTTCAAAAACGTTTTACATTTGACAACAACGCCGGTTTTCCACGGAACAGTTCAATTAAAGTTTGTAATAGAATCCCGATCCCACGCACTGACACTTTTCATTACTTCCATTGTAAACAAAGATCGCTGAGCAAAACCGTCCACACCCAGGAGGCTACAACTGTGAACTGATGACACTAAATATGCTACATATAGCAGATGCTAGACGAAAAATATTTGTATAACATTGCTACATAAAGCAATGTTAGATGTAAGTTAGCACATTCTTTTGATCTTTACCGACTCCTGATGGATAGCAAAATTTTTTGATATATATAGCAGGATCTGCTACATAGGCCCTATAGCAGTGTTAACTTATATAGCACTTTTGAAAAGTAACATTTTCTACTTCTAGCAAATGTTATATAACAGGGTGTCCACAAAAAATTTGTCATTAATTTCCATGACTTTCCATGACTATCCATGACCATTTACCATTGATTTCCATGACTCACGAGCTTTACACGCAAATTATATAACATACACACACAAATATAACTGCCTGAACATGTTAGTTTGCAGAAAATACTGAAATATGTAATAACAGATAACAATGGAGTTCAATAGGTACAACAATGAACTAAAACAAACTGAAAACTCATAAAATAATACAACCGTAATAAATTGAATTGTCGAGCATTTGTGAAAAATCCTGAAAAATGCTACAACAGTCCGGGTTACAGCTGACTAGAGCATTGAATGGTCCCCTCAAATCCATCCATAATTGGAAATTTCCATGACTTTCCATGACTTCTTGCCTATTTCCCTGACTTTCAATGACCAAAATTTTTTTCCATGACTTTCCATGACTATCCCTGACTTTCCAGAATGTGGACACCCTGTATAACAATATATTGTTACATATTGTTATATATATATTGTTATATATACATATTGTTATATATTGTTACATATGTAACAAGTTTTCTTGCAGACAATGATATACACAACTGCGAATGTGTCGAACTGAATCCTACAAATCGTTCAAGTTGGGAATAGCAGAACTGTGTGTTGAAAGGGTGTTACGCTCTGATTTTTGGCCAAACAAAAATCTCCTTCCTTGTTAGAGAATTCCTTCCATCTCGACGTCCTTCGCCGATATCTTTTTTAGGCAGGACAGTCCAGCACTCAGGATTGCCAGACCACCAGAACGTGTCATGAGAAGACTTGAGGACCCAGAAAATTGCTCTCCTGTTGTAATTAGTGTTTTAAATGTACAAAGTATTCGAGGTAAGGAGAGCCTATTAACTGTGTTCATTGAGGAAGAAGGTATAAACATTCTTGGCGTTTGCGAACATTAGTTAGTACCAGAAGAGACTGAATTCTACAGTACAGTGGCAAATTTATCCCTTGCAAGTATTTACTGCAGAAAAAATTCCAAGTGTGGTGGAGCATCATTGTTCATTGACCCAAGCCTTGATTTTAGTGTCTTAAATGTGGAGCAATTCTGCTCAGACCTCGATTGTGAACTGGTAGCGATTTACATACCAAGCCTGAACGTGACGGCAATCTGTGTTTACCACTCACCTAGTGGGAATTTCAAAGTGTTTTGTAATCAATTGGAGAGCTGTCTGGCTTCCCTTGAGAGAAATTTCTCCAACTTGGTCTTGATGGGGGATTTCAACGTAAATTTCATTGGAGAAGGCACCGAGAGATCTGCCCTGCTCAATCTCCTGAAGTCCTTCGGACTTTTCATCACGACAACACAACCAACGAGGGGCCACTCCTGCATCGACAACATAGCTGTAAACCTGAACACCTGGGATTATGAGGCCAGTGTCGTCGAACACTTTGTCGCAGATCACTCCGCAGTGGTGATGAGATGGATGACTTCTTCAAATGTGGTGAGTCCTCCTTTGATTTCTTGGCATAATAGTTATCTTTTTAACATTAGAAAACTTGACCTAAGCATGATAGACCTATTTTTAGTAGCTCTAGGTCAGATTAAATGGTTTGACATCCTGATTGACGATGCCAATGACTTTGATGTGTTTTTTTCTGAAATAAGGAAGTTATTTGATGTTTTCTTCCCATATAAGTCTAAGGTATATAGGCCCAACAACAAAACTCGTGTGGCGAGGTCAAAATCCTTCCTCAAATGGTATACTCCTGAGTTGTTTAGGCTAAAGCAGGACATGCTCGCACTGAAGGACAGGTTTAGGGAGAACAACCAAGAGGTGGACAAAGCAGCCTACTTAGCCTCTAAAAATGCATACAAACAAAAGATTGTTGAGGCCAAGAAAGAGGCAAATGTAAATATGATTGTTTCTGCTAAAAATCAGTGCAAAGCAGCTTGGGATGTGGTCAAAACGGCCACAAGAAGCAGTCGGGTGACCCAATCATCACCACACAGCCCTGACCAATTTAATAGGTTCTTCATCGACTCCGTAGACAACATTGTAACCGGTCTGAAATCTTTAGACTCCAGTAAGATTTCTTTGAATGTTGATGTACACACCAACCTTTTTTCGTGGCAGCCTACTACTTCAACCGAGATAGAGAAAATTGTGGCTGGTTTCAAAAACTCAAACAGCCCTGACTTTTACAGAATGTCCACAACCTGGTTAAAACGTGTCATAGGACAAATCTCTCAACCGCTATCGCTAGTCCTGAACAACATTTTGAAGAGAGGGGTTTTTCCCCCAGCATGAAAATTGCCAGAACCGTCCCCATCTACAAGAAGGGTGAGCGAGATAGATTGAACAGCTATAGGCCCGTATCTATTCTACCAATCTTCGGTAAAGTCTTGGAGGCTCTAATGACCAGGCAGCTTTGTGAACACCTAGAGTCTAACAACCTACTGACGGAAGGTCAATTCGGATTCCGTAAAGGCCGGTCTACAACAGGAGCGGTCATGAGGCTTGCAGGTTTGGTTGGTGAGGCATTTGAGGCTTGCCACACAGTCACCCTCACATTGTGCGACCTAAGTCGTGCATTTGATTGCGTCGATCATGCCATACTGGTCAGGAAGTTGGAGAGTTATGGAGTGGGTGGCACTGTTCTCGGAACAATTGGATCATATCTCGCAGGTAGGCAACAGGTGGTCTCTATCGAGGGGGCAACTTCAGCACCTCTAGAAGTAGCATATGGAGTTCCACAAGGATCGGTAATTGGGCCGATTCTTTTCCTAGTTATGATAAACGACCTCGACAAGTCAGGAAATGTTGTATTATTTGCTGACGACACCACCCTTGTGTCACGAGGACTGCGGGTTGAACAATCTGTAGCGGGAGCTGAACAGCACTTAATTGAAGCTTCAAACTGGTTTGAGGCCAATGGCTTCCAGCTTAACCAATCCAAGACACAATCTCTTGTCTGCAGTCTGGCTAAACATGCTCCTCACAATGATCCGGTGAAGCTGCTAGGTTTTACCCTGGACCAGAAGCTAAACCTGGAATGACCATGCAAATCAGGTCTGCAATAAGCTGTCAAGGGTATGCTGCCTGCTCCTGAAACTTAGGTATCTGGTCACGGAGAAATACCTGATGAATGTCTATCACTCTATGTTTCATTGCCACGTGAGCTATGGTGTGCTGTTGTGGGGACACGCACCCACGACCGAAGACATCCTGGTCCAAAAGAGAGCTCTACGAATAATCACCTTCTCAGCGATCGTCTGGCTCACTGCAAGCCTATCTTTGCCAGGCTGGGAATTCTAACAGTGTTTGGTCACTACATCCTCGCCTGTATAAAGTATGTGATAGATAATATTGAGGAGTTTCCTTCCAGAGCTGCAAAACATCACCACCTTACTAGGCATCGCAACCAACTAGATAGATGTTCCTAGAGTTAGACTATCAAGGACTCAGAAGGCCTTTAGTAATGGAGCCCTAACAATATATAATAAGTTGCCAAACTCCATCGTACTTCTCGACAAAAGGGAACTCCTTAAGGTACTCACTACGTACTTTAAAGGAAAAGCCTACTACTCGCTGAAGGAGTATTTTGATGACCCTCTGTTAGGCCTGGGTTGACTTACGCCTGTCCACAGCCTCAGTGTTAAAAATATGTTTTTAAATTTGTAAATAATGTATATTTTAGTACAGTGTTTTCATGTTATTTAATGACGCCATCAATCCCCCATGGGGTAAAAGATGAAGAACCGGTAATAAGGTAATTGCTAGATGTTACACAAATCTGCTATATAGTTGCTACATAGTGCTACAAATCTGCACTATGCAGTTTTGCTACATAGTGTAAACCCGGCTTTAAGTTACCAAATAAGGGCGGGTAATAGGGATTAAGATCTAGGTTTTACAGTGGTCATGTTGGCTATTTCTTGTGTTTGAAATAAATAAATATTGCTAGCCTATAGGCTGCTAGGCCGATTCTTATAATTCACTAAAATGTTTCTTCAAGAGTTGAAAAAAGCTAAGATAAGTTAGTTTACCTTGTAGCTACCTAGCCTAGGCCTATTTATTTGAACAGACTAGCTAATTACCAATTGGATCTGATAGGCCTACTTTGTAAATACTTTAGAAATAACTAGGTTTATTCTCTTTTTTTTATTAATGACATAAGTTAGTTATCTTCAGTACTAGGCCATAGGTCTCCACTAACAATAACTTGTATAAAATTGAACCCTTAAACCCTAAGTGATAACTTATGTAGGCTAATTAGAATTCATTAAAATATTTGTAGTAAGAAAACATAATCATAACCTATAAATTGTTCCACCTGGAATTTTTTATTTAGAGAATCGAAATATAATTGAATCAATTTTTATCTTTTTAGGCGTTATAGCTTAAATAAAACAAAATGGCCAGGGATGCTAATTAGCATCGTTAATTGCCGGGTCAATACAAGGTGGCTTGCTCTAATTATCACTATACACACAGAAAAAATCACAGATAAACGTTACCTCTATCAGAACAAACAGAATCTGCCATCGAAACGATTATATATATATACGCTAATATTACAATTAGAGAGTAAAAATTATAAATACATCGAGAGAATTTTACATTTTAGTCTGAAAAAATTAGACACAAAGTGAGAACGATTCTTTTGTTTACTTTTTTCGGAGCAGACAGCTTTAAAAAAACATGACAGCCGCAAATTTCCCACTTTTAAAAATAAAATCACCGCTTTGTAAAAATGTAAAGTAATTGATATAGTCATGTAATTTTTAAGGAAAAATATTTGACGAATATTCGTTTACATTTTATCGTAATATGTCTTACTAAACTTGTAAATTAACTTCTATCAGTATTTAAACTCACTGAACTTCAGTGATAAGTGAAAATAAGGATTTATTTTAGTAGTTATACGAACCGATGAATTCTACAGAAATAGAACAAACAACTAATAGAAACAAACAATTAAGTACAGTACCTAGTACGCTAGTAGCATTCGAATTAGGAAAATTTAATGCATTGTTGAACATTCCAAAAAAGTTGTCTGGCTACAGAACAGTACCAACAATATCTTCGTTGTCATGACCATGATGCGGCGATGCGCGTGACTATCCTATACCTGCTGCCATAGATAAAACCATTGACTATATAACACTACTGTAGTGTTATATAGTCAATGATAAAACATACTCCCCTGCTGCTATCATTAGCTTTGAATAGTGCAAATAAACTAACCTTGCTACTAGGACATGTGGAGTTTGTAATTTCTCGCCCTATATTGTAACATCTGAAGCCTGCTTTCATTTTCATTTGTGTTACATATAGGCGATATATATTTGAGCCCGCCATCATCTCGATGTTGGGTTGTTTAAAAATAGCAATAAACAAATTAATAGCATGTATAAACATTCCCTAATTACCCGTGTTTTAGCATTACAACGAATTTCATCTGTGGCTACATGTGTTTGAATATAAATAGATATCATGACGTGTTTTTATCTATTCATAGCGTACATCTTTTCAGGAACAACTGGATAGCTGAGTGGGTAAGCTCACCGGTCCAATCCATTGTAAAGCCAGTAGCTTTTTGACATTTTAAAGTAAGGTTTTGCTCTGCAAAATTAAAAACACTAAAACACATAAGTTCTAACTCGGTTTGTTAGAGAATTGGCCGTACAAATGTAATGGCTGTTACAATGCTGTCGGGTTGATCTTGAGCAAAAGCAGCCTAATGCTGTCTTAGGATGATTCGAATCTCGACCTATAGCTGTCTCCTAACAACATTTGAGCTAAAAAATAACATCAGCACTGGTTGTAGTTGTAACGAAACTGCACAAGACATCACCATAGATAAAACAAACATACTTAGTAGCTCTTAGTAGATTTCTCATCCTTATGGTACCTGAAGCCATTTTTGTTGTCTGGTGCACTCATCGAAGAAAATAAATAATTATTGCACTGTTAAAATTTTTCACTCATAGTTTATTATATTTACTGTCATTGTTTTTTTAAGTCTTGTCTTGTCTTGTGTATTAATATATTTTGTTTTTTATTGTTATTATATTTTAATATTTATCAATTGTTATCTAGTTTTGGTAATCGTTATTTTTCTCTCAAAATTTGTGTGCATGTTATCTAAGTACCGGTACTTGAAATACGTAGTATCCAATGGTCAATGGTATGATCTAATCCTCACTAATCTTTTTCAATGCATTTTGGTACATTCCTGTATGGATGTCATTTTTCATGTTTAGCAATCTTTTTATCGTCCAGCAAGATGAATCTTTTTTTTACTTCATTTTATTTTACAATCTGTTCAGTATTGTGAACAATTAGTAAAAGGGATAATATAAATAAGTGTCTTGACCAAGAATCTCCCCAGTGAAAGCTCTTGCAAAATTAAATAGTCATGTCATAACTAAAACTATACAAAATCGGGGAGTTGGGAGTATACAAAGTATGGGAGTTCAAGAACTTTCACAATTTTCAGTCTGTTGGGAAAATCACTAATGAAATGAAATACTATTTTATTTCCCAACTGCTACAATGTGTGGTATTTACATAATTATCATACAATCCTTAACTTAAAAAAAATAATTACAAAAGTATACTATATCTAAATGGCACAAAGAGAGAAAAAAATACCTTATCAAATTATAAGGAAAAAAAAGGTCTACATAGGCAGGGGCCTGTGCTAGACATGAGTTGCGGGTTGTCCAGCAAATTAACGGCTATATTGTTCGGGTGGGTTTCGAGTTTTTCTTGATAGTTCTTGCTAATTCTTGTTATTTCTTCAATTACTGTAGGTATTCTGAAATCTTCATGGATTGTTCGATTCGAAACAAACCACGGGGCATCAACTATTCTTCGTAGCGCCTTTGACTGAAATCTTTGAATAATTGCTAAGTTGGATTTACTTGCCGTTCCCCAAAGCTGTATCCCGTACGTCCAAATAGGTTTGATCATAACTTTGTAAAGTGTGAGTTTATTGGTCAACGAAAGCTTTGATTTTTTGTCTAGAAGCCAGTTGAGTTTACGAACCTTCAAGTCCATTTGTTGTCTTTTACACCAAATATGTGTTTTCCAGGTTAATCTTTTATCCATGTGGAATCCTAAATACTTAACGCTGTCCACTTCTGTCAACGCTATGTTATTCAAAGTAACTGGAGGGCAGTTTTCTTGTCTCAGCGTGAATGTAATATGTAAAGATTTTGTTTCATTATTTAGTTCTCCATTTTTTTTAGCCACAGTTCGAAATCATTTAATGTAACTTGCAATTGATTTGAAGCATCTTGAGGATTTTCGGGAATGGAGAGAAATGCAGTATCATCCGCAAACGTAGCAACCGTAATATTTTGGCCCACGGGGATGTCGGAGGTATATAGTAAATATAAAACAGGTCCAAGAACACTGCCTTGGGGTACTCCGGATTGAATAGGCTAAGATGAATCTGAATCTGATTTAGTTATGTTTGTACTCGAACAGCTGAAAAGTGTTTTTTGTCGGTTTGTTCTATCCAAATATTTATCTTGTAACTTTCCACTCATGTATTTTTATTGGATGTTATTTTTATTTTTTTACAACATTTATTTCTGGTTCAATGATGACATTATTCATAGTAGTGTTAACAAAATAAACAAGAAATTAACAATAATAACATCGTGGGTTCGCCCAGACCTGAGACACCTTGTAACATAATTAATTTAGATAAATATATTAAACTTCTTTAGGCTTCATTCATCCAATAGATCTTGAGGGAGCCTTCGACGTAGCCTCCTGTACTCAGTTGCTTCACCAAGATGAAAAGTTAATGCACCAGGAACATAGTAAAAAGATTTCAGAAATTTTGAAGTGGTTTTTTCAATAAAGGCTGAGATGAACTCCACTCCTAGCTCTTCATGTGTATGCCTGTTTATAACAAACCAGGGAGCATTCACCGCTATTCTTAGAATTTTGTTTTGAATCACTTAAATTTTGAAGAGTTTTTTTTTTTATATAGCTAATCCCCAGATAGGAGATGCATAAAAAATTGTGTTTACCGTATGAATAAATAAATAAATAGGCCTAAATACAACAATAGTATTTAGTTGTATTTATGGATACTTCGATGGGTGCACTGCAGTGCAGATGTGTTTGCAATTAGTTGTTTTTGTTTTTTTTTTATTTAAAAAAACCTTGTTTTACCAGATAAAACGATCTAATCATAAACAATGTACTGACTTGTCCTACTTATAAAACCAAATGGTAAAGTATATATCATTAAATTAACCCTAAACTACTGTAATAGAAACAAAATTTCGTCGACAATAGCAATCCGTGCCAGCGGACATGAACTAGACAGGAAAAACGAGCTTCAAAGTTTGCAATGGGACGAGAGATCTACTTGTTTTGGTTACTATTAAAGTGTTGTTATTATATGATGACATCACACTCCGCCCTACTAATAACCCTTTCATACATATCGTTCCAATCTTTATGTACCTACAAAAAAAGAGTACTCACCTATATGTTTTTAAAATAATAAATGAATAAATTATTAACCGGCTGTACGGTTTCATTTATGGTGGTTTGGTGTATGGATTTGTGTATTTCAACTGTAGTATTACGACACAAATGTTCTAAAATTACCTCAAATTTTCTTTTGCCCTTCCTCTTTCAACGGTTGTCCCCATTAATTGAAATGTCCAAAGGAATTCTTTTACAGAATTTTTATCACATATTCTTGATGTTCATGGGAGGAAGTCTCACAATCCTTCATTGACTATAAAAATCTACAACTAAAAATGCTAGTGCAGTGTTACCAGTGTATGAAAATACTGTTTAGCATAAGATGAGGACCGATGAGGACAACCTAAACTATACTTACAAATCACAGAAGCGATGAAAAGGTAACGCCTGGTTAATTTTTAATTACCAATAAATCAGCTATCAGTTTTTTTAGGCAGTGATGCACAATTTTGGGCGTATTTGAAGTTGAATAAAGGCCAGGGCTTGAGGGCAAGATAAGTGAGTAGCACGATAACAGAAAACAGAAACGGTAAAAATGATAAACATAAAAAAATGGTGCCACTGGTCCGAATTTAAACATTATTTAACTTTACTGTACTTTAATGGAACTGTAAGAAATGTACAAACCAGATGCCATGGTTCGCAGTTATTAGTAGGATTCGGTCAAGAGACGTAATTTGTTTATGTTTATGATCCTTGTTATCCTGTTGTGTTCTAATATCTGTGGCGTGTAACATGGAGTGAGATGATCTGGTCAGCTTGTTAAGTCTTGGTTGTTGTGAAGATCTTTGCTCGTGTCCGGCGACGGGTCAAGAAGTTCACCGCATCCTGCACTTAGTGCGACCTTACCTTGGTACGAACCACTTAATATCTACATTTACGCAAAGAATAAAGAGGAGAGACTTTATTCCGCGGTTTTCCCAAAAAAAGAGTGTTTGTCAATAAGGTATACAGCTTGTTCATATAGAAAACGTTATAAATAACCTAAAATTGAATGTTTTTAAGGACGCATTTTAAATTATTTAGAACTTATGTTATTAGGACGACTGGCTATCAATCATATCCTAAACACTATATTTAAAAGACTTTAAAAAAGACATTTTGGCAAACGAGTAAACTCTGTAGTGGTTGTGTACTAA